CCCAAGATTATGTTAATGCTACTAGATTGGGACCATTGGATGTTTATCTTAATTAACTTTCCTGGCTCGATCGATTTAATGAAACCATGAACTGAATGGAAATTGCTTTTTTCATTAGAAATTAAGCTAGAAGAGATTGGTGAATATTGGTACTCTAATATAGTTATTTGTCTTTGAATCTTGAAGAAAAAATATGATAATTTTGTAATAAAACATATTGATGTCAAAAAATCAATATCAATTTTTATATAAATATCTTCCATCCTTCCATGTTAAGAATTGTTAATTTCTTTGAAAATTCGTGCTTAAATTACATTCTAACAACATTTTACGTACTAAAATCGGATAGAGTTTTGATTTACTAGAACTAAATATATGAAGGAGAAATGGAGAAAATGATTCTTTAATAGAGGCAAGAGTTCGAATTTTTCTCCTACAATAATAAATTCCCGTACGAGTGTTAACACACCCCGACACTCTTCTCACAAGATACAGTCACTTTACGCAATATGAGAACTTCAAATTATAAAAACCAGCTAACTTCACTACAACAAAATGTACTGCATGCCGTAAAAACCTCTTTACGGCATGCTGCCGCACGCCATATAAAGCCATGCCGTAAAAAGTGTTGTACATTTTACGGCATGCAAAGTACGCCGTCTATAGAATGCCGTAAATGAGTTTTACGGAGTTCAACTACACGCCGTAAAAGGTACACCACTTTTTACGGCATACTATAATGCATGCCGTAAAAAGGTACACCATTTTTTTACGGCATGTTAAAATGCATGCCGTAAATGTGAATACACGCCGTAAAATAGTTTGCAATTTACGGCATGCTTTAAGCACGCCGTAAAATGTTTTGGAATTTACGGCATGCTTATTCACGCCGTAAATATCAATTTAATTTTTTTAAAATTTATTTATTTATTTATTTGATTACCCGCAAACCTATAATAATAATGAAACAAATTTAATTTATAAATAATCAAGGTTTCCATTGTTTCGATAA